GGTACTAAAATAATGCGGTTTACAGATCTGTTACCGTGTGTGAAGAATCGGGAATGTAATTAATACAGTATCAGCACCTTCGTCATCAGCACTACTGAGCTTTAGATCGTTTGTTAGCTCGCTGGCTAATTAGCGCGCTAACGTTAGCACAGCGTTCGTAGTGTCAGCTTAACTTTAGGCGCCTTTGTTTCATTTAATTCAAACGTTCTCTGGTTTCCACACCTGACAAAAAAGTGCTGAAATGCTGTTTAATTAAAATGTCCTACTGTTCTCTTCATTAATGAACTACATCTCTTACAAATCAGGGACGATCGCTCCAGCCTCCTCACCTAGCCTCGCAGGCTAACGGACGCTCTGAGCGGACGACGTTAAAATTTACATACTCGTTTGCATCTTGCTTTGTGATTGGCTACGCCGCGCTAAGCTTTTGAATTTACATATCTGTTGGCTTTGTCCTTTGTGATTGGTTGTTTAGCCCAGAATATGCGCCGAAATAACAAACAAAGCCAGAACAACCCGAAAAATCAGTTTTTGGGGCCTTATCGACCCAAAAGCTGCAAACTACCCACGAGGGTTTTGTCAGATTTTATCAGTGGTTTCAAATATGTTTTTAAACGGTGATTTGATCTTCAGTTTAGGGTATGTTGGTCTCTCCCCGTTCAGAGAGAGAGGAGTATGGCTGAATGAATCTGACCAGTGGTGTTGCCAAGATGGCCGCCGAGTGAACAGACTTTCCTAAAGACTTTAAGGCCCAGGCCCATTTCTTCTTTTTACCCCTACCCCTTGTTTTGGAGTGTTGCCCCTTGGAACTGAGTTACAGGGTAGTGGTTGAAATCTTCCCTCTGAAATGGGACCCTCAAATAAAAAGAGCATCACTTCTTTAACAGCTACTAGCGCTGCTCTGTAGGCGACCCTGCCAGTCTGCAGAGACAGCAGAGGAGGGTAAAGTTCAGCTCCTCACTGCTGGGCTTTAGTTACATTTAGGGCATCATATGCCTTCAAAGAGGGGGGCAATTATTTATTATCACCCACCCCTAATTCTTCAGTGATATGAAGCTGAAGTTAGATATTCACCAGATTCTCCTTCGAATTTTTCCATTCCACCTTAAATGGTGCAGCAATTACATTCTGGCGCTTTGGCATCAGAACTGTTGGACTAATTAAGGTGGAACGGGACAAATAGCTAGCTAGCTACTGAGACATTAGCACGCTATTAGCGCTTTTTTATGCTTGTTACGAAGAAAACGACCAAAATACACTGAAACGACATTAAACTGAGATAATGCAGCCATCTTGCTGGTTTTATGTTTTTTTCTCATAACACTCCGTTTGGAGTGAGTCTCTGCAAAACCTCCGTTTGGAGGGTCATGTAGCCCCAACACTTCGCCCTACCCCTCTATCTCAACAAGAATTGGGCCACCCTACCCCTAGATGTGAACGCGCAAAACAGAGGGCTAAGGGCTGAGTGGTAGGGCGAGGGGTGAAATGGGACTGGGCCTAACTGTGTCCAAAACTGTGCCCTATTCACTTTATAGTGCACTATTTTGGTGTTCCATGATTTGGTAGTGGTGTCCGAAAACACAGTGCAGAAGATCCAGTGCGCTCAAACAGTCTCACAACGCATTCCAATAAGTAGTGTACAACAGATGTACCCTGGGGGATAGTGGATACCCATAATGCACTGTATTGTTTATAAGTAATGAGAAAACCTGTGTAACAGTAGTGTCTGAAATTGTTTACCACCATCACAATTTCTGTTCCCTGTGATAGTGCTCTGTATAGTGATCCAGATTGGCCTATGTAGGGTATAGTGATCAGGGTCCATTTCGGACGCAGCATTTGTCTCTTTACTGAAAAACAGCCTATATGAGGACTTTCAATTCAAAAACCAAACACTGAATTCATATTAGAACTGAATACAATCCACCCTGAAATGTAATACTATACTATACTATATTATTATTACTATATACTATACTATATAATTCTATATTGCTTTCGTCTGTGCAGCACATTGTTGAATGTAATGAATCTTTTGCACTTCATTTTGGCACGTTTTCCTTATGTTACTGCAGTTTGAATGCAACCTCACGTGTGCACTGCGTTTCACTGATTTGGTTACATTTGAATGAAGAAAATACATTTGAAGTACAAAAAGTGTAGTAGTAGTTTTGCTTTTCATTTTGGGGCATAATTTTCATCTCACTATGAAAAAAGCAATGTGGTAAGTTCATTGTATTTCACTGTTTTCACTGTTACGACTGCATTTCAATGAGGAACAGCCGTGCCTTTATTACATTTTAAAGTGGATTGTATGCAATTACATAGATACATAGATAGATAGATCACTTTATTAATCCCAGAGGGAAATTCTTCTATTGCAGCAGCACAAAGCACAGTAAAGAGCAAAACAAGACCAAAATTAACAGGAGCAAAGTATTGCTGTACACTAGAGATAAATAATAGAATAAAATATACTAAAACAATAAACAATGAGAGTAATGTGCAAAAATACAAAGTAATTGCATGAATCCTATGTAGGAGACAGTGTGGTGGTGCCTGTCCCTCCAGTGAAAGAGCTACTCACTATGGACTGTAGCAATAAATGTTAACAGTTTAGCTTTAACAATTGACATTTATGGTTGCATAAACAAAGTGACAGTGCAATGTGCAACATTAGTGGACAAATAAACAAAATGAACAGAGTATCAGTGCAATATAAGATATGACAAACAAAATAAAATAAGTGGCTGTGCAATATGAGTGGCTCAGTACACAATAATGTCCCGGCACAGGGCCGAGGAGTTGTACAGTGCGATCACTGTTGGTACAAACAATCTCCTGTACCGTTCCTCACTACAGCGGAGCTGAATGAGTCTGTTGCTGAAGGTGCTCTGCTGTCTGACCAGTAGGTCATGGGGGGTGGTGTGATGTATTGTTCAGGATAGCAGTGAGTCAGCAGCTATGACACTCAGCATTTCATTTTTAAAATGTAAATCCTCATGCATTCTTTTTCAGTAAAGAGGTCAAGCGATGTTTAAACTGCACATATTCTGCCACTATTGGCTCAAACTGAAATATGCACAGTAAATTATGACACTGGGTTTTGAAGAATATCAAACCCCAAAACTGAATTGAGCAATTCATAAATATAAAGGAGTTTTACAACACGCTCCTTATCCGTGAATAAAGCAAAGACTAATTTTACATCCAATGAAGCTCATGCGTCCCCCAGTGGATGTGACATCATGTATATTTGAACAATTCCTTTGAATATAATAATAATAATATAATAATAATAATAATAATAATATGATAATACTATTATTAATACTACTGCTATTATAACTATTACAGCTAATACTACCACTATAAACATTTCTCCTAATACTCCTTGTAATACTATTATTACTACAACATACTAAAACAACTACTACTGTGATAGTACCAAGAATACTTCTACTAATACTTCCAAAAATAATAACTCTTCTGTTAATATTATTACTAATGCTACTGCTATTACTACAATACCGAAACCCACTAAAATTAATGCTTCATCTGTTATCACTACTACTAAAAATACTAATACTTTCTAGTACTCTAATTACTACTGCTGTTTATAATATTAATACTACAGCTTATACTGTTACTAATACTACTAACCCTACTACAATACCAAAATAACATTTTTCATGTTTTAATTGACATTTAATACTTGTTGCTGAATTGAATGTAGCAAGAGATGGGAAGAGTAGTCAAGGCCATACTGAATTAAAAGCTTAGTTACAGCAATGAAATGATGACCTTGTAGAGGTAAAATGATATACAAACCTATTATTTTTATTTATTTATTCATTCATTTATTTACTTATTTATCGTTGTTGTTTATTGCTTTAACTGTTGTTAATTGTTGTTTCAGTTTATTTTAATTAATTAAATAAATAAATTAACTCCTAACTTTCATGTATTCAGTTTTTTTTGTTGTTGGTGTTACTGTAACCGTAAAAAAAGGAAAATCACTGACTCAACTTTATTTTCTTTTATTACTGTCCCTAAACTTTATCACTTGTAAAGCACTTTCAGCTGCTACCTGTATGTAACGTGCTCTATTAATAAAATGTACTATTATTATTATTATCATTATTATTATTATTATGAAAACAATGACAATGATTACTATTTTTATTATTATTATTATTTTGAAAACCATGGCCGCAGCGCTCACGTGACGTAACTTCCGCGTCTGTGAGGTTAAGTTACTGCTTTGCGATTCACTCAGAGAAAAAACTCGTGAAATATTTAATGTCTGCAGTTCATAAATGTGTAATAAATATCTTATATCAGTCACTGTCTGAATGCTGTGGGTGATCAGTCGATAACTTATTGATAATGCCAATAACTCACTTACTCACTTCACTTAAACAGCCACTGGGCGGATTAGCTCACTTCGGTTAGCCTGTTGCTAACGAGCTTCATGGGAGCCGAACAGTTTTAACAATTTTAAAATACTTTTATTTTTTAAAGTTATACAGTCATTTAACTGTGGTGGAAATAAGAAGGCGAAATAATAACTGCTGATTATATTCAAGACATCCGTAAAGTTAACGACACTCATACAGATTAGCAAAAAGTTGGCAGCTCCTGGTTCGAATTTTCCGTTCCACCTTAAATGGTTGAACGATTCGAACAGCCTTTCTGTTGATCATCGTAGCGAGTAAATGTGAGTGTTTTTAGGCCAAACTGTGGCGGAACTGAAAGAAAGGGGGGATACAGCCGAATATTTTGGTGCTTTCCTCCTCACTCAGGCTGTGGGACGTCAGGCGGTGATTTCCAGCATAAGTCGAAGCTGATTCGCCAGCTTCTTGTTCGAATTTTCCCGTTGCACCTTAAATGGCTTCACCTTAAAAAAAGTCTTGTTCAATTTTTTTAAAAAAAGTTCCATCTTAAATTCTTGTTACAAGTTTCCCGCTCCACCTTAAATGGTGCCCTGGGCGCCGGAATGTAACTGCTGCACCATTTAAGGTGGAACGGGGAAATTCGTAGAGGACGCTGGCGAATAGGAAGCCAGCCTCAGCCTCGTCAGCAGACGAGCGTTTGTCGGCGGAGTGGAAGCAGCTTACAGCAGGAGGGTCTGCTGGATAAAGTGAATAAACGGAGATGGAGAGCTAAATCTCAGCAGGTCTCGGACTCCTTTTTTGTTTTGTAGTGTTTTATTGACCCGCACGGCCACAATGTCGTTCGCAGAAAGTTTGCTGGACCTGCAGTGGCTCTGTGTGCTCACCCTCTTCATGGCCTCCGTGGTGACTCTGCTGGTCTATTTCGTTCAGTATTTCTTACATTTCTCTCATCCTGGGAGCCAAACTGAGATTAAGGAGGACTCAGAGGAGGCAGAAGAGCTTTTATGCTGGACGTTGGGGCTGAAAAGCTGGAGGAGTGAATGGAGAAGAGCCTGGTTCAGAGCTTTAAACCAGCAGTCTAAAGCAGGGGTGAGTCTTGTTTAATTTTCAACACAAACAAGTTCAGAAGTCACTCAGCCTTTCATTCATATTGGTCATGCAGAAAGTTGGATACGGGAATTTCTACAGAATTCCTGTAGGAATCATATAATAAACACAGACAGTTAGTGTAGTTCACTACACAGGGCTTATAGATTACCACCAGAAAGCACTACAGGAATATTATCCTATACAGGAGTATTATCCTGTACAGAAATCTGTATGTGTGTTAGATGTAAATGTGTAGATATAAAATATATGACTTATATTGGCACATATGGATTTCCCTTCTATCCAAGTTATATTTGTGTGTGACGTATATGACAACTTATTTGAAATGGGTTATTTTTAAATATGGGACATGTATTTCAGCCTTTTATCAGCATATACGAACAATAAACATATATAATAGAAAGCATTAGACCTATATGGAAGGCATATCACTCATATATGCTAGCTTATGTTATATAATATTTATTATCTTAATTGGACGTATGCTTTTTATGTATTTAATTTTGTTTTGTTGCTTTAAAACAATATTTCCATGTTTGTATCAGACATACTGTATATTTATTATCCACATATTATGCATGTGTTTACTCACCTATCAGACATACATGTATGATCCATATATTGTGCCTGTATGTCCTGTATTCGATACTTACACGTATGTACATCGCATATATGTACATATATTTTGAAGTATATGCCTGATCCTTTTTAATAAATGTGCGTATATGACCATAAATCAGATTTCTGTATGGTATAGAATCATCCAGCACTATAGAAATCCTATAACTCTTGATAGCATTACTATATCTTTTTCGTTAACAACAAAGTAGATTTTATATCGGCATAACAGTCTCCAACGACTATATGCTAGAAGCACATTCAGCCTTATTGACATATGAAGAGCTTGACTGGCTAATACTACAGGAATTTATGACATTATAAGAAATAATGACAGTATGTTACAACACAAATAGCTTAAATAACGAAGAAACTACAGTATATGTGTTAAAAAACATTTTCCATTCATGAAAAATAATCAATAAAAGGTCCTGGAGATGTGAGTGAAGCTCTGTAAAAGTGTACGTCACTCTCATCGCATGTTTTAAACAATTTGTAGCTAATAGTGTCCAGTTTGAGTGTCCGTATCATCCACTGTGGTTTAGAACGGTACAGTGTTACATGTGGACGCTGTGTTGGAATGTAAACAGTAAAACGCACCAGATTATTTTAATATTTTAGCAGAGTCTGTGCTAAAATGATGATTTTAGGGGGATCTAAGGGTTGTGTTGTTGACTTTAAGGGCCCATATTATGGAAAATTGAATTTTTCTCGTTCTTTTGCAATGAAAGAGTTTGTTGTTAGTGTGTAAACATTGTAAAAGTTAAAAAAGTACCATTCACCCGGTCCATACAGCCCATATATGGACACTTGAACTACAAATATAGCCATTGCCAATCATAATAGAGCTCATTTGCATATATCAGGCAACAAAAACAGCCTGTTTTATTGTAAGGGATAAGGAAAGTTTGGAAAATGGTCATGTAGAAATGAATTGTGACTCTTATTGGGCTTTTTAATGTAAAAGATGTTGGCACTTGTGCGTCATTTTAAGATGACGTGTATAAGTCATAAAACATTATGTATAATGGGGGTGGTGCACTTTTACAGCATGTGAAGATTTACAGTTTTGTACAAGAAGTTGCATATTGTGTTATTAAGTAGTAATAACTTGTGAAATAGTGCACCGCAGTTGTGTTGGCCGTGCATAAAGCAGCAGTAATATCAGCTATAATGCAACATTATAGGGATTTTTACAGTTATCAGCTGCTGATGAGGCCACAGCTCGGACACAAAGCTGTTGCTGTGTTGTTTTTCAGTCTTGATGGTTCCGTTTCTCATCCCTGAAGGGAGCCGGAGGGAAGATAATGGCCCGGCTGTGTGCCAGAAAGTGCTTTCTGTTATAAATGGGTTTTAAAAATGTTTGGCTTGGATTTTTTTTAATTGATTTCTCTCGTCTTTCTCATCAGGGGCACATCCAGCTGACTTTTGAAGAAGACGGCGTGCAAACGTCAGAACTTAGCGTGGGCCGCATTTCAAGCTTCACCAAATCAGCAGGACAGAAGGTGAGGAATTTGAGGAATTATTGTTTTTTTGTGTATTAAACACCAAAGCACATCGTCACTGTCCAGTAAAAACATGTATCTCCAAAATAGTAAATCTTTCTCTACTTTCAGTGAAGTTAATGTAAAAGTGATTTTGGAGCATTTCTATTGGTCCATTCATCATGAAGTGTTCCCACAATGCAAAGGACAGCTGCTGTGTTCAAATGAGGTAGAAAAAAAATAAACAAAAATAGAGTTTTTTTGACAGCAATGATGTACACTGATCAGGCATATCATTATGCTCTTGTTTCTACGCTCATTGTCCATTTTATCAGCTCCACTTACTATATAGGTGCACTTTGTAGTTCTACAGTTACAGACTGTAGTCCATCTGTTTCTCTGATACTTTGTTAGCCCCCTTTTACCCTGTTCTTCAGTGGTCAGGACCCCCATGGACCCTCACAGAGCAGGTACTATTTGGGTGGTGGGTCATTCTCAGCACTGCTGGAGTTTTTAAACACCGTGTCCACTCACTGTCCACTCTATTAGACCTACCTTGTTGGTCCACCTTGTAGATGTAAAGTCAGAGACGATAGCTCATCTGCTGCTGCACAGTTTATGTTGGTCATCCTCTAGTCCTTCATCAGTGGTCACAGGATGCTGTCCACAAGACACTGTTGGCTGGATATTTTTGGTTGGTGGACTATTCTCAGTCCAGCAGCGACACTGAGGTGTTTAAAAACTCCAGCAGCACTGCTGTGTCTGATCCACTCAGACCAGCACAACACACACTAACACACCACCACCATGTCAGTGTTACTGCAGTGCTGAGAATGATCCACCACCCAAATAGTACCTGCTCTGTGAGGGTCCATGGGGGTCCTGACCACTGAAGAACAGGGTAAAAGGGGGCTAACAAAGTATCAGAGAAACAGATGGACTACAGTCTGTAACTGTAGAACTACAAAGTGCACCTATATAGTAAGTGGAGCTGATAAAATGGACAATGAGCGTAGAAACAAGGAGGTGGTCAGAATGTTATGCCTGATTGGTATAACTTATCACTTTTACTGTGAGCATGTTATTGTATCTTATATCCCTTTTAAAGGACAAGTCCAGCTAATTTTAATCTACTCTCTATTTACAGAACGTGTCGCACAGTTGATTACCAGAGACGATCATTTCAAAACGGTTCCTGAATTTAGAAAAGATCAGAAAATCTGTTAACTTGAAATTTGCTTAGAAGTGAATGGGCACACTGCAAAAAGTGATGTCCATTTAAGTGAAAACATCTTAAATATCAACAGTCGCATAATGAGTAATATTGGATATATTGACTAAATTTGAGGTGTTTTCGCTTGGTAAGATATACATTTTTGCAGTGTAGCTTAAGGCTGAAAGATTAATTGTCAAATTTCGTCAATATATCTAAATATTTCTCATTATAAGACTGTTGGAAGAATATTATAAGATTATTTAATCTATTTCTAGACATTTGTACTTGTTTTAAGTCATTTTATCTGGTTATTATGGTGTCTTATTCCGTTGGCAAATTATATCGAAATCGAAATTGAGTGCGATTTTTTTAATCGCAAGAGCGGCAATTTTGTAATTCTATCCTACATTATTAAAAATGTCTTCAGTTTTAAGTGGGGAAATTTAACCTAATAACTCAGAGCTTGTAAACTGCCTGTAGATGAGTTAGATCAATCAGAGGCAGTGAAACCTCCTTGTTTTGTGACATCACAACCACAGTTTGGTGGCTCACTACATTCAGGAATCAAGCCTCAAGCCAGAAAAGTGGATATTCTGGTCTTCTTGGCAAAAATAAAAACAGGCCTGAACCTTAATTGATAGCAAATTATCACAATTTTAATCGCAGGTGCAATTAGATATTTCCCCCAAATTTTTCAGCTCCAGTGTATCTGCAAAATTTCACGAATAAACATTTTAAACAGTAGTAGTTTTGGTTATTTTCTGAAGTTTTTTTGAATTCAGGACCTGTGAAAACACACCACTAACACACATCACTACACTGGTAATAAATTACCTCAAATCCAATCAAACAGACCTTTAATACAGATTTACAGCTTAAATTATAAACCTAATTTTTTGACATAAGCGTTTAGCTGCAGATCTCAGCATCTGCCCTCTGACCTCTATTACAGTGAGTTTAGAGTCAGTGAGTTTTCAGTGGAACGAGGTGAAGTTACTGTCTGTGATAATAAACTGTACGATACTGATGAAGCAGATTGAAATCAGGAGCCGTATTACAGAAACTTCCTCTCTATTAGTCTCTGGCAGGTCAAGATAAGACTTTTCACTAATTCATATTACAGAAGCAAATCTGATCTTAATTTAGGAATTTTATCTCATCTTACAGCATCTTATCTCCAGGAAATCTTAACCTACTTGATCAAAGTCAACGGTCAGCTGTTATGTCTGTTGCCTAGCAAACGACTATAAACACACACGGTTGAAACGTAAACATGTAATCAAAATAATGTTAAAATGTGAGTTAAGCTGCTGTTACTGATGTAAAAAAGGTCAAACAGAACTAAAGTGTGATAAACTGTAAGTGGTGAATGCTGTGAGAGCGCCCCCTGCTGTTTATCAGAGTGTCGCCGCTCCCCAGTTTCAGTCTCCATTTCCCAAACGCTTTAGCCGAGCGCGCTAACGTTACTCCTCCTAATAAACAGACACACGTTCAGCTCCGCCTCCTCATTATTCACCACCATCACTGTAATATTTCATCATCAACATTAACACACGAAGGTGATCAGAGGGGCGGTGGAGATCGAGTCTGCAGCGTCTGAGATCTTTAAAACGCAGAGTTAGAAAAGAAAATCATCTCACAGTGAAAGCAGCGTTTTACAGTAGAGATAAATGGAGCTCATTATGCTGGTAGTGAACTATGCTGCTGACTCAGCTGCCTAAAAACCATAGAAACAGACCTTAAACAGAAGTGAGGACCCTGTTGGGGTTCATCCTAAAGTTTTCTTATCTGGAGTTAATGATAAGTTAATTCAGTCGTCATGGAGACAGATTTCAGAGTTAGGATGTTTCTGTAATACAGCTCCAGGATGGAAAACCCTGAATTTGTTCTTTACAGTGTTTTATATTCTGTGTAGCTCAGTTTGGGTTGTTGTCCTCCACGCTGCCCCTGCAAACCTCAGATGACTCACCGTGTTTGATTTGTGCTCCAGCTTCATTTAGTTTTGGCAGAAACCTCAAGTCACACTAAATTCATTAGCCTCAGAGACACTTTCAGACTATTTTGGTTGGGCTGCTAATTGCTTTGCTGGCACTAGAAGCAGCGCAGAAATCTGTCCACAGCTTTTCCATTAGCGATATTTCCATTGAGATATTTCGGGAAAAGAAAGCTGCATTTTGCTGAATGTTTAACTGATTTTCAAAATCCCCCATAATTCAGTGTGTGAGCTGTAAACAGAGAGATTCAGAGTGGTTTGGTGTGAAATGGTTCAGATGTCTTTACAGTGGTGGTGATAGGAACCAGGGGTCGCCATGACTACAACACAAATATAGACATTTTATTTACTGTCCAGAACCACCAGTGAACCTACACGAGTCTTCTGAGTTTATATGGAATGTTGATGATGGAAAATAGTGGAACATCTGAAATAATCAGTTTTCTTTGGGGACTATTTTGCCTCACAGCGCCCTGCATGTATCCCTCCACCATGAATGGAGTTTAAGTTCTCTAAACTATCATAAAACAGTGTCTCAGTCATCAGGCAGTGAATTCATAACCATTTCATGTAGTAACTTTCTGTGAGGGAGCTTTTAGAGGTGGACGTCTGGTTCCTATCACCACCACTGTGAACAGTTCTGGCTGTAATTTCCTTTTGAACTGAGTATTTCACACTAAACCACTCTGAACTGCTCTGTTTACATCTTTACCATTTATTTATGTAGGAATTTTGAAAATTCAGTGGAGTTCCCCTTTAACAGCTTGGTTTGTCTTGTTTGCGGGACAGATAGTGTGGTATAAAATTCTGTATCCTGTTAAAATGATAACTGTTTGCTAACCCAGGAAATGATGTTTGCAGAGCCGTGAAATTGTGCACTTCCCTCAGTTTGATGCCCCACATTCTGCTGTCAAGCTAATCGTCCAGTCACGCTGACCCCCCCCCCAACATCCACCCCCACCAGCTCACAAATATCATTGTCACTTCAGTTTGGCATCAAAATCTGTACATTTTTTCCATGCTGACTGTTTCAGGTCTCAGCCAGTGTTGTTTTCTTTTGAGATACTGTTTTAAATACCAGCAATAATTTGGAAAAATTACAGTTTTCTTTCACCAAATGTAGTCAGTCAAGACGTGTTTTGTGTCTGAAGTTTCCTTCTTTAGATTTGGTGCTGGAGCAATGAGGCTAATGAAGCTAACTGGAGGTGTTCAGAATCGTGATTATGTGGTGTCTGACACTGTATGACTCACTGTTATCTGTAAACATGGACTAATGTTTCATATTTTGTTATGATATAAATCAGTGCTGTTAGAACAAAACCTGGTATCTCCAAAATGGTAACTTTACAGGAGAAGGAAAAAACCTACTTTACTTTTAATGTAAGTCAATGGAACCAGAGTTTTTTCCGAGTCATTTTGGGCCGTTTCTTTTGGTCCATTCATCATGAAATTTACACACAATGTAAAGTTTAACAGACATTTTCAAATTATGTCAAAAACTGAAAAACGACAAAAATGGAGATACGAGGTTTTGTTCCAACGACAGCGATACATTGAGTTGCTCATAAAAAATATTTTTATAACTTTACAGATCGTATTTGTATTTACACTCTAAAAAAAAGATGGTTCTTCAAGGGTTCTTTAGTAAAGAAAATGGATCTCTGTTGAACCATGAACACTCAAAGAACCCTCTGAGTGATTAAAGGCTTCTTTGCATCATGAAAGGGTTCTTCGGATTGATGGAGAATGTGCTGTAGACAGTTCTATATAGAACCTTTTTGAAAAGGGTTCTAAGTAGCACCTTAAAGGTTAATATAAGCTTGACATTGGAGCAGTAGAACCGTTTTGTTTGCTATATAGAACCATTTTCAAAAAGGTTGTATATAGAACCATCTACAGCACATTCTTCATCACTCTGAAGAACCCTTTCATGATGCAAAGAACCCTTTAATCATGCACAGGTTTTTTGAGTGTTCATGGTTCTTCATAGAACCTTTTTCTTTACTAAAGAACCCTTGAAGAACTACCTCTTTTCATTCGTCTTGTTTGTCTTGTTCAGGATTAAAGTCCCGTATGTAGCTGTGAACCGTAGCTGTATCTGCTTCTCGAAGTCTGAATTTAGTCCGTCTTCTGTCCCACTGTGTATTTAGCTACACCCGTTTCAGCTACATTAGCTGCATAGCTTCTGCGCTAAAGCTAAACACTAAACCATCCGACACCAAACACGTCCTGGCTGATTGATTATGTTTGGGTGTCAGTTCTATAAATTTGCATATTTGCTGAACTGTCACGTTAAGGGTCAGTGGGCTACTGTCTCGGCACCTCTGTGTCCGAATGAGAGAACCGGAAAATTCTTCGTCCTAATTTCTTTCTGTTTGTTTTTGCTGTTGGCAGAATGTGCAGTGTGCAGTGTTCGGAGAAAAGCTGCAGTTTTCTCTCAGCGCCTCCCCAAACGCAGCCCCCACAGAGACCCCCCTGAGATACAGCGCCAGAATATCCCCCCTACAGCTGCAGGTAAACACAACAAACAACTTCAGTTTCAACTGAGTGTCAGTGGAGATAGCAGGAGGATTATATAATTACTGTTCATGGTAATTACTGAATAGTTCATAGTAGATACTGAATAATATAGTAGATGCTGAATAATTAGAGTAAATACTGAGTAATTCATAGTAGATATTGAATAATTCGTAGTAGATACTGAATAATTCATAGTAGTTACTGAATAGTTCTTAGTAGATACTGAATAATTCATAGTAGATACTGAATAATTCATAGTAGATACTGAATAATTCATAGTAGGTATTGAATAGTTCATAAGAGTTACTGATCAATTAATAGTATTAGTAATAGATTAGTAAATCATTTGTAGTAGAGAGCAAAATAATTATGCTGTAATGGTATAAAAGCTGAAATACGTTACGACACTGTTTTAAATTCGTGGTCACAAGTGACTGTAAGGGTTTCACAAAAAAGCTATTATGATAAAATGACTGTTACATTTTTGACGACTTATTGTTGGTAAAATATTAAAAACGTATGTTCCAATAAAGGCCGTGCACTCAAGGCTTAAGATCAGTAAGTGGATGATGAACCCTTCTAGTCGTGATCAGCAGTAAAACACAAACAGAGTGCAGTGAAACGTCTGTCTGCTGTTTTAGTTTTGCTCCTGCTCGTCGTGTTTGAGCTGCTCTCTGTGTTTACTCTGCCAGGTGAGTCTGAGCAGGTGATGGTTTTTGTGTAAACAGCTTTAGTGAACGCTGTCGTTTCAGTCGCTGGATTACTTTCCTCCAGTGCCGCTGAGTGCTGAGTGACTGATTCAGTAAAGTACAGTCTAATAGAAACGTACGCCTCACAGTTTCCATGTATACAGTTAGGCCCAGAAATATTTGGACAGTGACACAGTCTTCATGACTTGGGCTCTGCATGCCACCACATTGGATTTGAAATGAAACAACTGAGATGCAATTGAAATGTAGACTTTCAGCTTTAATTCAAGGGGTTGAACAAAAATATCCTATGAAACGTTTAGGAATTGCAACCATTTTTCTACAAAGCCTCCTCATTTCAGGGGCTCAAAAGTAACTGGACAAATTAACTTTACCATAAATAAAATGTTAATTCTTAATACTTTGTTGAGAATCCTTTGCAGGCATTGACTGCCTGAAGTCTGGACATCACCAAACAAACCCATGGACATCACCAAACTCTAGGTTTCCTCCTTTATGATGCTTTGCTAGGCCTTTACTGCAGCTGTCTTCAGGTGTTGCTTGTTTGTGGGTCTTTCTGCCTTAAGTTTTGTCTTAAGCAGGTGAAGTGCATGCTCGATCGGGTTGAGATCTGGTGATTGACTCATTGCAGAATATTCCACTTCTTTGCCTTAAAAAACTCCTGGGTTGCTGTCGCAGTATGTTTTGGGTCATTGTCCATCTGTACTGTGAAGCGACGTCCAATCAACCTTGCTGCATTTGGTTGAATCTGAGCAGAAAGTACATCCCTGCACACTTCAGAATTCATCCGGCTGCTTCTGTCTTCTGTCACAACATCAATAAACACTAGTGACCCAGTCATGCATGCCCGTGCCATCACACTGCCTCCACCATGTTTTACAGAGGATCTGGTGTGCTTTGGATCATGAGCCGTTCCAAACCTTCTCCATACTTTCTTCTTCCCATCATTCTGGTACAGGTTGATCTTAGTTTCATCTGTCCAAAGAATGCTGTTCCAGAACTGGGCTGGCTTCTTTAGATGTTTTTTGGGAAAGTCTAATCTGGCCTTTCTATTTTTGAGGCTGATTAATGGTTTGACCCTTGTGGTGAACCCTCTGTATCTGCTCTCATGTAGTCTTCTCCTTATGGTAGACTTAGATACTGACACACCTACTTCCTGGAGAGTGTTCTTCACTTGGGTGGATGTTGTGAAGAGGTTTTTCTCCACCATGTAAAGGATTCTGCGATCATCCACCACTGTTGTCTTCCGTGGACGTCCAGGCCTTTTTGAGTTCCAGTGCGCTCTTTTTCCCTCAGAATGTTCCAAACGGTTGATTTGGCCACTCCTAAGATTTCTGCTATCTCTCTGATGGATTTCTTCTTTTTTTCAGCCTAATGATGGTCTGCTTCACTTCCATTGAGAGCTCCTTTAACCGCATGTTGTGGGTTCACAGCAACAGCTTCCAAATGCAAATGCCACACCTGGAATCAACTCCAGACCTTTTACCTGCTTAATTGATGACGGATTAACGAGGGAATAGCCCATGCAGCCCATGAAATAGCTTTTGAGATAATTGTCCAATTACCTTTGATCCCTTGAAAAAGAGGCAGCTACATATGAGAGAGCTGTAATTCCTAAACCCTTCCTCCAATTAGGATGTGGATACCTTCAAATTAAAGCTGAGAGTCTGCACTTTAGGCCCATGTTGATACAACTGTATCTTCAATATGTTTTGGTAAACAGCTAAAATGCCAAAACTTGTATCACTGTCCAAATATTTCTGGGCCTAACTGTACATAACAGCTGACTGAGAGAACGCCGGGAGTGTCATGAAAGCAAGGGGTGGATATGTTGAAGAATCTAAAGTATAAAACATCACTGCTGTCGGAACAAAACCTGGTATCTCCAAAATGGTAACTTTACAGGAGAAGGAAAAACTTGCTTTACTTTTAATGTAAGTCAATGGAACGTGAATTTTTTCCAAGTCATTTTGGGCCGTTTCTTTTGGTCCATTCCTCATGAAATTTACACAGAATATAGAGGGTAATGGGTATTTTCAAATCATGTCAAAAACTGAAAAACGTCAAAAATGGAGATACGAGCTTTTCCTCCGACAGCTACGATATTCTGGTTTGTTTAACACTTTTTTTGTTTACTACATAATTCTGTTTTCCTGTTCATTCGCTGTTTTGATGTCTTCAATATTAATCTACAATGTTGAAAATATTAAAAATAAGCAAAAACCACTGAATGAGAAGGTGTCCAAACTTGACTGATACTGTATAAGTAATTATAGTGACTCACTAACCCCTCATCCGGCCGGCTTATTAATCAGCTATTAGTAATAAAGCTTATTGTTCAGTTATTAATCTCATGGCTTATTAATCAGTAACTATCAGTATAAATATCTGACCTTTGATTCAAATATGATTCTTTTGGAAATGATTCATTGTCAGAAATCTCAAATTTCAGCACCGTTTCATTCAATTAGATTATTTTGAATCAAATCAAAATTCTTTTTTGAAATATATACAGAATACAAAAATAACCGGACGATATATTTACACAGCGGTGGAGTATGGTCAGTATAAATGATAAATTTGACAGTTTGAGAATTGAATTTTGACCAAAAAATTGCAGCTCATATTTCTACTCTCATAATATGATGTATTCTCTCTAAACGTGGCTGATGGTTTTTGTTTATAAGTCCTGATAAAGTTTTCTAATGATTTCCTTCTCTAGCAGTAGAGGCTCGTTCTTATCCCGACTGTCTCTGGCGGGATGTCTGAGCGTCTGTGTGTGTCTGATACGCTGAATCGCGCGGCTGTGAGAGACCATAACGAATGAAGAATGAGAGAAATGCTGCGGAAGTGTCTGGAACACTGACGCAGATAAAGCAGCATCCTGAGGGCAGCTCAACAAAAACTGTGTTTGTGTGAAAAGATGTCTTTCAAAACTCTGACATCAAAGCAAACTGTAGCTTTTATTACGCTCAGTTGAGGCAGCGTTAGTCACAACCTTACAGAAAACACAAAAATCAAGTTTTAATAACCCCCTAAACTGCAGACTTATTCAGTTATTAATCTCAAGAGTTATCATCCAATGTCCACTATGAATTATTCAGTATCTACTATGAATTATTCAGTCTCTACTATAAATTATTCAGTGTCTACTATGAATTATTCAGTATCTACTATGAATGATTCAGTATCTACTATGAATTATTCAGTCTCTACTATAAATTATTCAGTATCTATTCTGAATTATTCAGTGTCTACTATGAATTATTCAGTATCTACTATGAATGATTCAGTATCTACTATGAATTATTCAGTATCTACTATGAATGATTCAGTATCTACTATGAATTATTCAGTCTCTACTATAAATTATTCAGTATCTACTCTGAATTATTCAGTATCTACTATGAATTATTCAGTATCTACTCTGAATTATTCAGTATCTACTATAAATTATTCAGTCGCTACTATGAATTATTCAGTATCTACTATGAATGATTCAGTATCTACTATGAAATATTCAGTATGCACTATGAATTATTGAGTATCTACTATGAATTATTCAGTATCTACTATGAATTATTCAGTAACTACTATGAATTATTCAGTATCTACTATGAATTATTCAGCATCTACTATGAATTATTCAGTATCTACTATGAATTATTCAGTCTCTACTCTGAATTATTCAGTGTCTACTATGAATTATTCAGTATCTACTATGAATTATTCAGCATCTACTATGAATTATTCAGTATCTACTATGAATTATTCAGCATCTACTATAAATTATTTAGTATCTACTATGAATTATTCAGTATTTACTATGAATTATTCAGTATCTGCTAAGGACCCACATGTAAGCATTTATCATTTTTTAGTTAATTATTAGTTTTTTTCAGTTTTGTCAGAAAAGTAGATTATATTATTAATAGATTAGATTATTTTTCCAAGCTGTTCCATTAAGAGGTTAAAATCTGAAGTAGTTCTTGGAATTTGGTGGCCTTTCACTTTCCTGGCTCATATGCAGTGATTAGCTGGTACTGAGGTTCGGTATAAGGTGAATTTAGAAGCTGTGACGTCATCAACAGTGTCTGAATCGTTTTACATATAAATAAAACATTCCCAGCATCATATCTGCTCAAACACCATTTAAAGCGGGTAAAACCTCCATACATTAACAGCCTATATACTCTAAACATGCTCTGCGCATTAAAGCCTGTGTGCGTCTCTGCACTTTAGCGCTGGAGTGAGGCAGTATTTGTGCTGAGGTTCAGAGGAGGA